AACACGCCTCCGTCGCATTCATTTGCACACTGTCACCCAGCACGGCCTATGCAGGCTGGGGAGGCGGCAGGAGGAGCGGAACAGCCGTTTTAAGGGTGAAATTGCTGGGTCAAGCCTCAGTGTCTCCATAGGAAATGCCAGCTGAATTCCCGTTCCCTATTTTGTGTTCTCTTATGGATGCAGTGTGAGGGAGCCTGTGCAGGTAGCGCATTCAGCGTCTCTCTACACCACACCCCTTCCGGGGAGCGTCCATGGGTTCCAAAGGAAGCCGTACTTGGGGCTGAAGGATGAGGAGGGAGCCCAAGGATGGGGGAAATGTGTTCTCGAAAGATCTGTGAGCACGTGTGGAGATCCTCGGGGCTCTGGAGAAGATTGGGAGGAGCCAACGTTCCCTCCAATGTAGGGTGGGCTGCAAGGGATGGGAGGAGTTTAGTGGAACATGGAGAAATGGGCCAGCAGGGTGGAAAAGGACCAGGTAGTGGCAGAACGCAGGAGACAACGGCCCAGAAGTATCAAACAATGAGACCGGGCAGTGGTTGTATTCACCCTGCCACTAAATGAAGCTGTCAGAAACCCGCTCGCTCAGGGAAAACGCTGACCGAGGCCCTCCGTCCTGACAAGTGAGGTGTACAATTAGGTATTCAGTCACACCAGAGAGCTGCCGCAATGTCGTTTATTTCCTATTCGCAGAGAAAGAGGGGGCAAAGCATGTTCCAACATGCGTGACTTGTGTGGGACAGAGAAGTACCAAGAAGGCAGGCCCGGAACATGCTGTACTAATTCATCCCTCCGGGCCGTTTCATTGCCTCACACCACACAAACAGTTTATATAACACTCGCTGGCTCTGCCAGATGCTCCTCCTTCTGGCCAGGGCAGTGTTGCACCACTGACGGGGGGCGGTGGGGGAGGGGAGTCCGCCTACTCCCCAGGGACAGGTCCCAGAGACACCTCTAAGGCTACCTCACGGGGTAGCGGGACAGGTGAGGAATATTTTAAGGGAGGAGCCTCCTGGACTGTTGAGAAGCCTTGTGCTCCGTAGGCCTGACTCTGCTCCCTTGTTAGTCAAGCGCAAACTCCCATTGACTTCTGTGGGTGTAGGTCTGGGCCCGACGTGGGCAACTTTAAGGAGCACATCTACTCAGCTAACTGAACTTCCACCGCGCTCCATTGCAGCAGATACCGAAGGGGGTCCATGCCAGGGTGGGAGCAGAGTGAGGACACCAATCAAAGGAAAAGCAGAGAATTCCTCTGCTATGACCACAGCAGGAAGCACCCTCGTTCTGACTGGAAATTTTGGCTATCGACTTTTCAGAACATTGGAGGAGAAGCATTGCCACAAGGGCACCATGTTGCAGACGGCAAAGGGATGTAGCCGTTGTCAACTGCTCATTCGGAAACAGAGAACAGCCATCCCTGGTCTACACTAGGGAGTTATTTCGAAATAACCCCCCTTATTTCGAGGCTTCCCCGTAGTGGGGACGCGCTATTTCGATTTTGTTATTTCAGGAGTTAGTATTTCAAATTCAGTTATTTCGAAATCATTTCCTCGTGTAGACATGGCCTCAGATAGCAGACCCAGGTACATCCCTTTCTTCCCTAGCCATCCATCTGCAGCCAGAGAAGACTGTGGAGGGCATCCCATGATTCCCGACATCAGCCTCCTGGCAATACTGTGGTTTCCCCAGCGCCTTTTCGTGCACCCTGCTCTCTACGTGCGGCCCCTACCCTGTCTTGTGTGTGGTACACAGCCTGCCTAGCGATTTCCTTTGCCGCTGTTCCTCAATACACTGGAGTCACTGCCTCAGTGGGGTTGGCATCAGTCAGGAATGGACCTACCTGCTCTGTTCCAGCCTCTGCCCATACCTCTGTCAAGAGCTAGAGCATCCTCAGGAGAGCCCGTATAGTTCTGGTGTCCCCCACTCAGGTTAGCCGGGGCGTCCCTCAACCCAACCCTCTGCTAGAACTGCTGTGATGTTTGCATCTTCAGACCTTGACCCAACACCATTACATCATAGAGCATCTAAAGTTATTGGAGGACTTACCTACCCCCTGGAGAGACTCTCAGAAAATCAGGACACCCTGTCTTTCCGAATGAGCGGCAACCTTAGGGGAGTGAGTTAGTACGTCCTGCAAACATGGGTAATGAGAGTTACCTACGGCTGGCTCTAATTCAGTGTTTCTCAACCTTTTTTTTATAAAGTACCCCTTTAAAAAAAATTATAAGTACCCCCAGTACCTACAGTTTTCAGACACACGACATTTTTTCTACCATTGCAATACATTTGTTTAAACACTTTACTTGTAGCCGGGCAGGCGATGAAATTTTTGGGTGTAAAAACTACAAAAATAATAAAAAGCTGTAAAACTTAAAACAAAAATTCAGTTTTCTCCAAATTTCAGTGGTGTTGATGTACCCCCCGACTTCTCTCGAGTTCCCCTAAGGGTACTTGTATCGCTGGTTGAGAAACACTGCTCTAAATAACTCATCAGAACAGCAAGGGACACCGGGGGCATAAATCAACAGCAGGGCTTGTACACAGATCACATGCCCACTGGCTA